AATTTTTAAATTTAATATGCAGAGAAACTATAAGACACTTCGATTTTGTATATTTTCACATCAGCATATGAGATCTTCATATATAATTTGTATTTTCTCATTTAAATATTTATACTATAATAATATTTCCGTAATCAAAATAATTAAAATTTTAATATTTTCTTATGATATTTATATAGTTTTAACATTGCTAATTATTTATTATAATTAAACTATTTTATCTAAATAATAGAAAATATCAAATAATATTTTATTTTTATCCTATAATATATTGCGTTGCAAAATACGTGTTTCATATTTTTGGTTTTTATGTTTGCTTTTTTGCACATCATTTTTTTGACGTTTTGACATAATATTATAAAGAACAACAAGAAAATACAATTTTAATTGAGAATAAATTGAGTATGCGAAAAAATATAAAAATTATTATTTTTGAATTAAAAAATGTTTATACGCGTGAATATACGCGTATTATTATATGCATGGATTGATGAGATTAATTAATTCATTTATGTTACAGTGTTTCAAATATTTTTTTGTAATTATTAATAATTAAAAATCAACTTCTTAATTTATATATATATATATAGCGAATGTTTTATATAGAGATAAACTATATAAAACTATTACTTTCATCTGCGAATAATAACTAAATTAAACACATATATAATTGCGTACAATAGAATATATATATGTATAGAAATAAATTTCTTTTAATTTTGTAAAAAAGTTACGTATTCTTTATCTCCATAAAAAATTAACAAGACCTAGCCACGCTTTTTGTTCGATATTAATAATAGCTGCCTTTTTCTCGGATTTTTCCACCTACGTTTGTATAATTAATGAGAGAAATAATTAAAAAGGAAGAAAGTTCCCTTTGCTTTAGTTAGTATATCTTCTGTACAGTGCTTTCAGAGATTGTTGGAGGTGTTCTCAACATTCTAATAAAAGCGGATATTAATTAACTCAGTGATAATTTAATTTTACGACGCATTATTATAAGATAAAAAATAATATGTTTTATGAGATATTCAATGTTTCAATGTTTTTATTGTTAACAATAAGTAAAAAAGCACAATTATAATAATTAATAGTGTCAACACTATTTATATTATTAAAAATATTGAAAATTTAATTATAAAATTATTATTATTATTATTAATAAACATATTTAAATAGAAAACAGAATATACAAATCTTATACGCGGATTTAATAAAAGACTTAAAATTGCTCTAGTACTGCTACGTATTAAATTAAAAAAGCTTCGTAAGTGTGCTAATTTTAATTGAAATGACTTGATGCACTATATTCCATGATGCACTATATTTAATCGATATTGTAATAAGATGTACGCGATAATATATTCGGTGATATACATATATGCACGTGTTCGAAGAACGACCGCGTATATGTTCCACGTGATATAGCAAATAGGTCACAGCCCTATCATGGATGTAAAAATGAAAAATGTACCCACGGGATATAAGTTCATTCTAACAATATCTAAGTGTGCCCTTTGAATGGCAAGCACATGCAGTATTTTCCTGTGTAACCAAACCCCGATGGTATCGCATTAACTTGCTCATTAAATTGATTATAAATAGTAGAGATAGTATCATTACGTTATTCTCGATAATCGCATATGATATTCGTATTAACATAACGATATTGAGATTTGAAAAAATATATAGTTGAGTAAAAAAAAAAAGGAAATTTGTTGTTAAATAGGAAATCATATTTCAAAGTTTTTATATAAAAATTAAAATTAAAATAACTTATTGTCTTAATTTTTTAAACATTTTAGATAAATTTTAAAATTAATGAAGATAGCTGTTCACATTTATGCTATCAATATAATTTACTTTATATTATTATTTTCTCTGACGTTATTTGGCGTCAAATGCACTATAATCATGTCAGGACAAAGGACCTATGCGGTCCCAAGATCAGACAACCATTGCAAGATAGTGATGTCATGAATGTTCATATATTTGACGATTATGTATGCGTTTGTCTGTTCCACGCGACATATTAATGGGGTCACAGCAGTTCGATTATTATCGACATAGAGGCGAGATCAATCTTTCCATAGGGTAGATCGGCACCATGCGGCGCATTAGATAAAAGAAAAAATTTCTCCAAGCAAAGGATAAAGAGAGAATGAAAGAGAATATTATGTATGATTGAGACTTATTGTTAATTTAGTCGCGCATAATTTCTATATGCACTGTCCATGTATTTTCAAAACAAACAATATAAAAGTTGAAAAAATAAACGGATAAGGAAACTGGCAGAATATTTTTCTATATTTTTGTATATATTTTTATCTGTTATTTAATATTGCATAGAAGAATATGAGTAATAGAAAAAATTGTATATATTGTTATGTGTTCATTAAAATCAATATTAAATAAATTGAATGAGGTAAAAAGAATCAATTTTAACTTCTAAAATATAATTTATATAAAACCAATCTTAAAAATAAATGTTTATTAGTTGCACAATAAAATACTATATAATTTATATATAATTATATAGTTTATATAATAAAATAGAAATTGAATTATTTAGAAGAGAGAAATTACTTTTTCAAATATATATTTCAAAATATTGTTGTTCTACACAGTCATAAAATTTAATCGATTCAACTTAAAATTGAGTGAATCTCTATATTAATCTTAAAAAACAAACAAAAATATTTTTGAAAATATTTTTTAAATCCCTTTTAGCCGTTCTTCTCAATTTTTATATTGTTTAAAATATTTTAAAAATGCTGTTATATATATATATATATATATATATATATATACAGAAAAATGCTGTGATTAAATCAATAATAAATTAATTAATAATTAAAACCACTCCCTCAATTTCTCCATATCTTCAACTCAGAAATTCTTTCTTAATAAAGCGGTGGCTTAACCAAGTAATAAAAAGATAATTGAAAATAATGTATTTTAATTGTATATATATATATATATATATATATATATATATATATATATATATATATATATCTTATATATTAAAACATTATCAATTTTGTTTGTGATTTGATAAGATTTTAATCGAGAATAAAATTTGAACAAAATTATTTTCTCATAAAAAAAAATCATCAAAATTATTTTCTCATGATTGTTTTTGAAGCCACGGTGTTTTACGTTTTTCTAATTTCAACATGACACAATTTTTTAAATATGTATATATACCTTTATATCCTGCAGCGATGTTTGCTTTTGTGCCTGGGAATTTGTCAGATGCATGTCCCTTTTAGGATTATATATGTCCTGTCGCCGTAATCGGTCGAGGTCAGCATTGTCGTGTCGCGTTCTCAAGGGCTGTATTCTTAATACTACTACGCCCTTTAACAGCCTCCAGAGTATTGTAAACCCAAGAATAGGTTAATCAGGGAACATGCGGTCTTCACTGATAAATCGATTGATGCCAACCAGACATTATTGATCGACAGGCGTCCACAAATTCTTTTGATGATTCGTAAATATTTGATGTACCTGAAACATGACAATGTCGATATGAATTCCAATGTATATATTTATTCGAAAAATTCAATATAATTCTATTACATTTACGCAGTGCATGTTTGTTGTTATCTAAATAAATTATATAGATGATTATCTAGAAAAAAACTTTAGCATCATCTTATATCTTTATATATATAATACAAATATGTATTATTTATATCTGCATCTTAGATGAAAAACAGTATTATCTTATTATTAAATTATCTAGAATAATTTTCAGATAGTTTAGGTTTAAATTTATAGCACATAAAAATATTGAATTAGAACTTAACAGTAATAAGCAATAAAATATGAATACATATATATATCATTTTATATCTTTTTTATAAAATAATTTACATTTTTTTTATAACTGTTTACACATAAGCAGTCTTACAAATTATTATCTAGAAAATTATCTAGATTAGACGCCATATAATTTTATCATTTATCTAGATATATTTAAAACAAAATCATCTACATCGATCTAAGACATATTTTTATCTCATCTTTATCTAGCTAATTCTATAAAATCATCTAAACACAACACTGCATTTACGATTAAAAAATTTGTTATGACAACCGCATTATTTAGATATATTTTCGCGAAAGGTTGTGCCATTATTGTTGGCGAGAGGCTATGTACTATAAACAGATATACATACTATAAACAGTTTTCATTCAATACGTACTCTCTAATTCTGCAAGATTTGTTAGACGGTTAATTGAAATATCTCGATAATTAGAAGAGGCGCGAATCGTTGCCGCAAGTAGCTGTAGCTTACACACAATTGAATCTTCGGAAATGCTCGGAAGTTTTCGACAGACACGTTGATCACATGACCATTACGTAATTTGTCACGTGATTATTTGCGCTTGCGCGTAGAATGCGCAGAATTAACCTCGAATTTCATGCTTGAAATTATTCGAGATATACCGAATAACGATTTTCACGGTATTGTGAATCTTGTTGGGATCTTTCTGACATAAAAATATGATTGGCAAATTAATATTCGGCATGTTTCAATCTTTGCCGTATGTGTAAAAATTTTATTTCCAGTTTTCACATAATATGTGTTAAATCATCTATTTTCAAATATATTAACATAGTAATAGACACAACAATGAATATTAAAATTAATAAAATAAAATAATTCATGTTAAATTTTAACATTTTTTTTAGACGAATGGGAGTCTCGAGTCAGCTTTCTTCAACAGTGAGTGTGACACCTACGTTATGGAATCCATGGAGTTTAATACAAGTTAGAAACAGAATGAGATATCACTTTCCTCATCCTTGTGAACGTAAGCGTATTAAAAAACACGGCTGGTTTGCAAGAATGGCAACACCATCCGGTAGGAAAATTCTCCAAAGAAGAATTTTAAAAGGCAAACATGTATTAAGTCATTAATCATAAGTCATGCAATTACTTGTATATATTAAAATCTATGTCACGAAATAAATGCTTTCTCATCAATTGTGTGAATTAAATTTTTTTTATTACAATAGTAAAACTCGAAGTGAAAATTATACACGTCATATATTATACACAAGATATCTTTACCTCGTTCTCTATACTGTCTTTGTTTAATTCAGGTATGTTCTTGAACATAAGTTGTTCGCAAGTCCAATCAAAAGGATGTATTAAAGGTGCTTCTAGCTCTATATCTTTTTTCTCTCTGCCGAAAAGGGTTAAATATATATTTCTCAAATGCACATGAGTTGGAATAATCTCTTGTTGATTTTCATTTATATCCAACAACTGCAGCAGTTGTTTATTCAGTTGTGGCATATCCCAACAAGATTCAGCAAATGGATTGACTTTTATCCATGTACCCATGATTTCTTGAGCTCGTGATCCATGATAATTATCTCCAAGAATTGGACTGTATAGCATAGTAGAAGCAAACAATCTAATAGAATGCCATTTTTTTGTAGATGCTTCCATTTCTATTAAGGAACTCAAATTATGTGTTGAATTGGATATAATTCTAAAATTTATATTTAATATTTTTACTTCCTGCCTCTTTACTGCATTGTAAGACCATTTTGTCAATATAATTGGCTAAAATGCATATACAATTATTAACTTGAGAAACGTTAATTGATTTGCACATACAATATATATATATACACAGAGATACATGTACCTTTTTGGTTCCTAATGCAGATTTTTGTAAAGTCATTCCTAAACGATATTTTCCTTTGATTTCATGTGGAACTCTACTTGTAACCACCCAGTATTTTCTGAATTTGCCCATCTGAAATCGTCTTCTCGCTTTCTCTATCTGCTCGCATGCATCGTTATTAATTCCAAAAACATAGATACCAGTCATATATCTATAGAAAAGAAAGATAATTTGTAATAAAAGTAAAATATATAAAAAGCATGTAAATTAAAAAAAAAAAGAAAAAAACAAGATATGTACTTTTCTGCTCCCATGCATGGAATCAAGGCTGGTACATCTAATTCTTTTGCAAGATAAGGTAAAACATTATATACAGAATAATCAACTGCTCCCACAATTTTGTGACAGTTTGTTAAAGTTGAGTCTGTACTTTGTGCTTTATTATATATAGGTATGCCATATGGTTTGTTTATTGCAACTATTCCATCTGAAAGAAATATCTGTAGATTAGTACAAGATGTAATGTGCTGACATATATCAATTTAAATATAATAAATAAGCTAACTAATTTAAATAAGTTTATTCTCTTTTAAAAAAGATTAAAAAATCAGTGCTCTTAGAACACTAGTGTATATATAAAGAAGAAATTCAGAGGTATACAAATGTTAAAATCTCATTCTAAAGAATGAAAATTTCTATTTACGTATCAATAAAATCCTATCAATAAAAATATTATTTAATCAAGTCTAAACATAAAATAATATTCTACCTGCATTATAAATAACATTCTTCAACAAACTATTTGCAAATTCGTTCTCCGATTTCCATGGATGGATTTGGCGGTACGGATGGATCACCTTTTTCTTTGTGGTACATTCATTTTCCAATATATTTGTGCTATATCTTCTAGAATACATGCAAAATGTCGTCGCAAACTCACTGTTCCGCATAATCCTAAATAGTGTCATCTTTCTAACAAAAGATTACTTCTTTTCCTCCTGCACAAATATTTGTTTCTGTTAACAATCACTCTCTAATTAAAGATTACAACAAATAAAATCTGATTATTCATGATAATCGAAAAGTTTAAATAATATAATATTTATTGTTTATTATTATCTGTTTTATTTAATAAATTAAATAACAAAGTAGTTTAAATATCGAATACATACGAATATGAGAAGCATGTGTTTATAGATTAGTGTAGCCAGAACGAACAGACCTATTAAAGCCGGAATCATACTATATATTTGAAAACTTTGATTGGTCAAATTTTAATCTTCAATCTCAGTTTTCAATGCGTAGTTTGATACGGGTTTAAGCAAATCGACCAATCACAGTCAAGCATTCTACGACGTAGCAGATATGGCCGCGTACAGCAAAACGCAAATGTGACAGGTTATGATTTTCTATTGAACGATGTTTATACTTTGTAATTTGCAAAAAGATCAGTTCAAGAGGAAGAGAAAAATAAAGAAAATATTTAAAATTATATAAAAATATTTAATAATTAATATTTATTTAACATATTTTATAATGTTAATTTTACATTCTTAGATTTTAGATTGATGAAAATATTTCTAAATGAAAGTGTATATTTTATAATATAAGTAGATAAATATATTTGATTAAACCATGAGTGAACAAGAATTAAAATCAAAAGGATTTAAGCGTGCTGAAAACAATTTACTGAACAAATTCAGTGCTGCATTTTCAAAGAATTATCCACATTATGTAATGCCTGGTTATAACTTAAATAAATCATCGTGTATCGAGAAATGGGATGAAGAAAGTGCAATGGGGCTTTATCAAGAATTTCCATATAATTGTGATTTACCAAAACCATTATTGCCCCCAGCGAGATTATCAAGAACAGGTAATAATAATACTGACGTAAAGAAATTTTTTTTGTCTTTTCCCAATTTTATTTAATATATATTTTAGTTATATCTTTGTAAATTTTGCAGTTCTTTGTGAGGAAGACCCAGCTTTACAGCTTCTTGTATTAAAAAATCACTTAAAGGATGATATTAACAGAATCATGAGTCATTATGAAAGGCATAAGAAAGGTTTGTATACAAAAATTTGTATAGCAATTTTTATATTTATATTATTATATTAACTTAAATAAAATTTATTTCTAATAGAGCTTGATGTACATACAAAGAAAATAAAATGGAACAGGGGAAGTAATGGATACAACACAAAGATACCTAGATATGTTGCAGATATAGCAGAATTGCTTGACATGGATCCTGATCCTTATTTTGAAGGGGTATATTTAACAACTTATATCTTTCAGAAATTTTTATTCAGCAAAATAAGTAAATACTTATAAAAATAACTGATTATTAGATAAATAGTTGAATTAATAAATAAAAACAACTTAAAATCAGAAAGAAATATTTTTATCGGCTCTAAATATTAAACAACTTAAAATAATAGTAAAAATTAAATTTTGTATAATATTGATTTTATTACTAATAAAATATATCTTTTTAGACTTATAATTGGTATTATACTGGTGGATCATTAAATTATATTCAGTTTAATAACTCGGATGTTTTACTATTTCCATTTATGGAAGACTTAGGTACTATTTTGGATAAAATATGTTTATATAATGCATATAATATTTTGTATATCTAAAAATATTAATCTCTTGCACACTGAAATATTTTTAGTTGCTGCAAATATTATACCCATGGAAGACTCAATATGGAAGCCATTATTGCAAAATTCAGCTAAATGTAAACTACATGGATTATTGTATGAAATTAGGAAAAGTGAGGTTGATAATACATGTATGTGTATAATTTTATAGTCGAACAATATAAAATAATTATATATATATATATATATATATATATATATATATATATATATATATAATTATTTTATAATTATATTATTATTTACATTTAAGTGTGTATATTATATTGACATCTCATATTTTAGGTAGAATTCTAGGAAGGCATAAAAATAAATGTGCTATTTATATGCTTTCAAATTCTGAGAATCATTTATTACTTAATGAAATTCATAGGCAAGCATCAAAGGCACCATATGTCAGTGCTGATTTGAGTTTAACTAATGTCAATTATCATTGTACATTAAACGCAGAAAAATATTGTCTTTATGGGATATAAATAATATGTGAGTATTTTTAGCTTTTTAAATAATCTTTTATGTGTTCACAATATTAATATTTTGTCTTTTCCAGGCATTCTATTAATAGTGGTCCTGTGTTACAAAATAATACGACTAACGATGTTTGGGGATGTATAAAATTTCAACAAATGGATTTAAATGTTTTGACTTTTATGGATAGATGTTGCTTACATTATTTTGATATCAGAGTAAGAAAGAGAAAAATTTTAAGATTATATATATATATATAATTATTATTTATCATTCATATAATTACAAATATCAGAAGTTATTTATCAGTTATTAGTATTATTTATCTAATAATAAAAACGTATTTGTTTCTTAATTTTTATATACTAGTAAAAATAATAATTATAATTTTATTGGATTTTCTTATAGGCTCCTTTTGATCAATCAAGTCTTACATTGTGTCCTAAATTCAACTTGGAAAACTGCGAAAACCTCTCAGTCGAGGCACCAAGTAGACACAATTCCTGTCGATATTTGGGTACTTCTCATTATCTTTTATTATGTGATAATCGTTTTCCAAAGCACTGTGTACGACAAAAATGGACACATCAATTAAAGGATACTCCTTTATTGGCAGCTGTAACTAACAAGTAAATAGTTTTTAAATGAGAATCTTAAAATAATTAATTACATAATAAGGCTTATTCATTCATATGACTTATTAATTATAGCAATGACAAGGAAATCATTGTTTTATCAACTCAAAGAGTCGGCGAAAACGCAATAATTTTGAATACTTGGATGAATGAGGAGGACTCTCATTCCTTTAATTTACCTTTTACACCCCCGTGCATTGCAGAAACGTTAAATGAGTCTCAAATTCAAGGAATGTGCTTAAATCCATATTTACGAAGCAGATTTGAACTATGTAATACTGGTAGCACATTAGTCACAAGTACAAAAAAAGGAGAAGTGTTCTACTTTGTACAAAATTCGATTGGTACAATTTTATTTTCTTATATGAAATATTTTTTATATTTTATTATAACATCTTAGAGAATATTGCTTGATACATAAACATAAATATATATCTTTCTAATGTTATCAGGTGACATATTTTATCAATGTATAACACACGAAAACACATTGGACAAATATTCTCCCATAAATGGCAAATCTTGTTATGCATTGAATTTGTGGGAGAAAGCTTTATCAACTCAAGCTGAGCCGTTAGTACCTTTGACACTTTCTAACAAATGTAACATGGAACATATATACAAAAGTAAGAGAATATATTATTTTTATTTAAATATATTTCGATTGTTTTGATTTATAATGTAAAATATAAAAATATAAATTAATAAAAATTATTTTACAGATTTTACGAATAAAAAGCTCCGTTTAAAATCCAATAAAAAGGATGCAGACGATTCTTTTGAACCAACTTGGAAACAATCATTAGCTACATTAGGATCTTACATCGATCTATTAGCACCCGAACTTCTTGCAGTTTGGGAAATACGTGAAGAAGTACCATTACCTAAAAATACAGGATCTCATCAAAAAGTTTGGAACTGGTTAGAATCATCGACTTCAAATCATCCGATGATGCAATCACAAAACGACTCTGAATATATATCCACATTTATCAATACTAATGAATTAACTAGTGTTTCTCAAGAACAAGATCTCATATGTATTGAAGAAGATGTATTGTAATACAATAAATACTGCAATTGAACTAAAAGTTAAAACAGTAAATATAAAGATACATGTAAATAATTTATTTGGTTATGGATTAACAAGAGAGAACAAAAGTCACCTGCACTAATTAAATATTAGAATATTTAAAGATAATATATTTTTTGTATGTGTAATATTTAATATTAAATAATGCAAATTGTATATATAGATAAAAACTTATAAAAACATTTTATTTATATGTAGATGCGATAATGAAATATAAATATGTAAATAAACAGAACTTTGATAAGTATAGATAGAATTTTTAAACATTATTTTATTACAATAAAAATTATACAATAATCAAATTATGCATAATTTTTTGTGATAAAATGATTGAATATACTGCATATTAAAAATGCACATTTTTCAATATACAATTCAATTTGCAATATGATCAGTTGACTAGCGGTTCCGGAAAGAGGTTTTCCATCTCGAAGTAAGTACTTGGTTGCTATCTTGTTGCGCCTTCTGCTCTTCCTCCATTTGCATCTGTTAATTATTATTATAATTAAATGTTCTGATTATATGCGCTTGTATTTTATAATAACTTACCAATAATTTCCGCCGATTTTCTTTAAACATTTCCAATGGATTATCAAACTGTCTATAATAATTTAAGACGTCTCGTACATCTTGCACGTTCGATGCCAATATTGCTAAGGAATAAAATATTGTATATCTTATTAAACCCAGAAAGATTATACACAATGTTGATATTTATAATATTAAGAAATAATTTATATTTGTGGAGACAATGTTAATAAGAAAATATAAAGAATAATTTAAAATATTGCTTACTTTTTAGGAATGCCGCTAAGTCGTATAGGGTAGTATCATCATCATTACCAGTCCATCGAGGAAGTTGAAATGCATTTTCTGGGTTTAATTTTACGCTTTTATCATTCCAATCAATAACAATCACCTATTAATAATTTTAATATGTAAAAAAACATCACAAACATAAGGAAAAAGTGTTTTATAATAAGAAAATAATTACTTTACTAAGATCACGATTAAGAGCTCCCAAATCTTTAACGTGATGTCCATCCACAAAACGTGTTGCATCTCTAACTAATCTGAACATTATGTACCCATTTGGATCTAATGCATCTAAAATGGGAATACCGTCTGTAAATAAAAATCAATAGATATTTACTATAAACACTTTTCCTCAAATAAGTAATAACTTTTACCAAATATTTAATATAATATTATTCGTATTTAATAGTGCTATTTTTAAAAGAAGTAAAAATCACAGTTACCATTCCTTGCTCAGCTGTATAAATTACAATTTCAAATTGTGGTGGTGCTACTGCTTCTAAAAACTGATCCACTCCAGGCCGTTTTTTAAATCTCCATCCAGTTTGATACTATAAAGAAGATGTATTTATAATATTCAAATATCAAATAAAATTAAATATATTTCATTTTTAATCAGATTAAAAACTTACTGTCCAATCTGGATGTACAAGAAGATCCGTCAATTCCAAAACTAGAGTATATGGTGGCTGGATATATGGGTATTTTAATGGATCAGGCAATAATTTTTCTCTACTGGGTTCTTGTACTAGCTGAAAAAATCAATAAACTTTATACAAAGTGTTCTCTTCTATAATATATAAGCATAATTTCATAGAATTGTATGTTGAATGCATTTTTAAAGTTAAGATATATACATGTCACATAAAAATTTTAATAAAAATTATAAAATTATTCTATTAATAAAACAAAGCAGTATATTTTGCAAATATAAATAAAATAAATTATAAAAGGATCATACTCTTGTATAATAATTGAGTTCTCTCTTGACTCTCTTATAGATCTGTTCAAAAAATGGTAAATTGGAAAATTCATCCTCAATGACATTCCCATGTTCATCATAGTTGGGTCTTCCTAATTCATATACTAAATAAGTAAAGCCAAGACCCATGAACACACCGAAGGTTGCAAACCCATAATTCATCATTCTCTTTGATCGTTCGCGATTTGCTTTCTCTTCTTCATCTTCTGTTTGTTGTTCATTCTGTTTCTTAGCTATTGTTTCTTGTCTCAATGATTCAGCTTCATTTATTGATGACTGTATATTTGTTAAATTACTAGTGATCTTTGGGCGATCTGTCGCTGAAAACAAAAAACAACTCTTTGTACATAAAAAAAAAACATGCAATATTTTTATATATTACATATATATTTATGCAAATGGTAATCTAAATCTTTTGTCATATGCAACCTGAATATCTAAAAATTATATTTAAAATATATTTTTTCACACTAATATCAAAATAAACAGTCCTAAGTAATATATAATTTCCTTAATTAATGCATATTTCTATCAAACATTAAAATAAATATTTGTTTTTTTTTCGTTCTATTTTCTTTCTTTCTGCGTTATTTATGTAATTTGCGACTTAAATTATAATTATAACGTTTTCATGTTCTCCATATACAGGTTATGTTTTGTACTCACTTTCGGTACTGTAATATTTTTGAGCAACCCGAACGAGTGATGTTTGGCTAAATGGTCGTCGTAAGATGCAATGCGTTGTTCCTGCATTTACACTGTATATTTTACACAAAACTCTCAGACTTCGCATTGCAAATGCCATACTTTAAAAATACCATGAGCTTTCCGGCACCTCTTCGCGCATGTAAAATCCTAACCCTAATTAAAATTCATCTCATATTTCCTGGCTAACTTCGACACAGCCGGTAAATTCGATCGTTCGTTGTGTCGATCAACAAAAACAATATAATAAACATATATTTATCTAAACTATAAATAAAAAAAATCTTATGATAAATTCCAATCAAAATTTACTAAATAAAAAAATATATCAGGAGATTTATTCAGAAATGATACGAATTTTTATGTATTTCTGTCGTGTTTCTTACTCTTCTCTCTGCTATATAATATATATATATATATATATTACTTGATAAAATAATATATAAAAAGAAAAGTTATCTTATAATTAAATCTAAATATACAATTTAAAAGAAAAAGATATGTGTATTTTTATCTTATTACTTTTAGAATTTACAATAATAAAATTTACAAAATTTAAAAATAGCGCGCGCGCTATTAGAATGAATTGCCGCTGCTTGTAGAATATAGGGACTAGCTTATTACTTCAAGTCACTACCGAAACACCGCGAATATTAGGCTGTATTATTGAGCTGCGTCCCTTTGTGATAAATTAGTAAGTATAATCGTTTTTAACCTGTGTATTATTGTAATATTTAATCGCATATCATAATTTCAATGCTCATATGTAGCCGTAATTGTTCGAAATGCATACTTCGCGAGAAATTCGATGGAAAATCTCTGCCAACGATTAACATAACCCAATCTAATCTGTTTTCGCGCGCGCGAATGTGTTGCGATCTATATATATATATATATATATATATATAATTTGCATATTTATATCATGTTATAATGCGAAATAATCAAATTGTTCTAATATATGTATGTATATATTTTGTTTGTTACAGGTAGCATTCTTGATAAACTGTGCGCGAGTTTGACCGCGAGATTTTCGAGTATCGAACGGACATTGTTTTTCGGCACAAGGAGGCAGCTGTGAGGTATGCAAAATAAATATAATTTATAACAAATATATATGCGTATATATATACATACACACACTACTATTTAATAAATTAATTACACACACGCATGTATATATATATAATTTGAATAATAATTTGAATATTTTATTTTCAGATCAATGTGCTGTTGTGTATTACAACTTCATTATTGCATATATATATAGGTGAGTGAGAAATTGTTTATTTGGAAACATTTCTATAGCGGTATATATGTAATGGGAGTGTGTGAAGCTAATGTGTTATTTTGATAATTATTTATTGAAGATAAAGCTATAGAACGCTTAATTATTATTTATGAATTTCCACGCCATGAGATGCCAGCTTCATATATTCTTATATATTTCGATTTTCATTATATACATTATTGTTTTTTTCTGGTTTTACTTTAATATAATGTTGTTACATATATAATATTATATATCATATTATATTATTATTTTATATATATATATATATATATAATATATAATATATATATATATATATATATATATAATACTTATATATTTAATATTTACATATTAATTATATATCATATTAATATATTATATATTATTATATATATATATATATATATATATATATATATATTAATATTAATAATTATTATTATACTATGTAACAACACTGCATTAAAGTATAATCATGTACGTATATATATATAAAACGTACATATAATAATATTGTTATAATAATAATAATACAATATGTGAGTATATTATCGTGATAGTCGGATAAAACTAAGACTGCACTACTAGGAATGAAAATATATGAGTAATGCAGTTTTATTGTTAATTTTATCCGGCCATCGCGGTAAGTATAATTATATATATGTATTATTATATATGACAATAATTATTATTACCTCGATTCTTAATTGCAATAACAATTATACAAAATAGAATTGTGAAATAAAAAAATAGTTTTAAAAATTTAACATTTATTTTAACAAAATTTTAAAAAATATTAGCTACAATTTTTTTTTTTCACAATTCTATTTGGTTTCATTATTATTGCAATTAAGAATGGGTACTTTAAATATTTTTGACGCAATATATACATACATATATAATAAATTATTTTTATATTTTTATATTCATTTATTCATGGTTTATTTGTCCCCTTAGAGATTAAAGGCGCTTTTAAGGAGCGTACCCGAACTAATATATTTTTATATTATAATATAATCAATTGTAAACAAATATTAATACATAAAAATATTAATATATTATTTTTTGAAAAGTAGTTTTACAATATATATAATAGTATTCTATAATAGTATCCTTATTAATATATTATTTTTTGAAAAGCTCTACAATATATATAATAGTATTCTAATAGTATCCTAAAGGCTCCACGGATTTTTTATTTATAATCTCTTTATAATATATATTTTATAATTATACGAGAATTACATAAAATATTAATTGTATGCATGAAGGCATATCGCATTGCATATGAAAACTTAAATAATTAAGAATTCTAGTTTTAATTTAATAATTCTATAGTTTTAGTAGTTCAATAATTTTTTATATTTTAATAATTCTAACCGTTAAATAAAAAAGAATGTCAGGATATAGATTGAGATACATCCCTTATAAAAATTTATCACTAGTAACGCCAATTTATCACTTATTTCAAGTACTTAATCACTTATTTCGAGCACGTAAATTATTGTATATCAGTATTTTAAGTACTCGAAATAAGTGATTAATTGGCGTTACTAGTGATAAAATTTCTACAAGGGATATAAATTCACATAACGTCTCATTTGGTCATACGAGATTTTTTTTTTACTTTTTATCAGATTTTTAGATTTCTAGTTTGAATTAATTATAGACAGAATTTTTAAGAAAAAGTTCTATACTCATCCGTTTCGAGATTTGATTGGATTTTTTTCTTTTAATTTCTCTATCTCGACTCCCATCTCGGAGAGACCAGGTTTATAAAATTTCGCAAATCTATACGATATTAAACTACAAATGTATGTACGCGTTTATCACTTTAGCTCGCAGTTGTAATCGCGTGAAAATGTTTCTAACATTTTCCAAAGTGACAGTCGCGTTTTGTCGCGACCGACCCCGACTATCGCGGCAACAAGGGATGACAAAAGCGGATGGTAATAAAAATCGGCTTCGGTGCGTATCTGCGCGTGCACGCAACCCTCTGTCACGGTCGTGTCGGCCGCAACGATCTCGCCGTTCATTCAAGAGTGACGACGATCGGGTCTAGCAGTGTACGGTTTCAGGCGGACAATACCGAACGACGTATTCCGGATGCGAATTTCATTCTGTCGCAGCATGTCGCACTGTTTAGAGCCGAAAACACGCACACAAAAGCTGGCGCTTTCATATTTCTGCCACGACGCAGAGATCTCACGTGAATTCGTGTCGATATGCGCGGCTCCGGAAAGTTACTTTATGAGGGATGGACGTGATCGCGAATGTCAGTAGCCCATTGTCTCCATCGCGTTTACGTTTACGCGACTGATTACAAACCTTCGCCAACTTTTTTCTCCCTTTTTTTTTAATATTACGAGTTGTTGTATAGAATCGAATATCGATTGTAACAGTCTGAGTTTATTGTCAGCATATTACTACATATATAAATGTAGATTATAAATAGTTTGTAGGATAATTATAATCATATCTTCAAAGGTAAAAGGAGTTCTCAATGACTCACTTATAATAAAAGTGTTACTATTTGTTTTATTTATCTTAATTAATTTTTTAATGTTATCTATGTCCATTTTTAATTGAAGCGATTGTCTTGCGATGTTGTCTAACTTTATCTTAAGTTTAGGACAAATGTTTCCAGTAAAAGTTATTTGAGGTGGTCATCTGATGGTATCTCTATTTGACTTTGAATAATTTTTATTTTATTTATATGTTACAGATCAACGTTTGCAGTCAATTCTGATGCGTATTGGTGAGCGATAAATTATCATTTTATTACGAGGTAACGGTTTTAATGTAGATCTAGATTATGTAGAATGTAGAATGTAGATTGTAGATAGTTCCGTTACCTCTCGATATAAATGAATGGATTACAAAATATTAGTATAAAATTGAATTACTGAAATATTTATCTTAAATTTGTAATTTGTAATCCATCCATTTATAATTGTTAATATTGAAGTTGTAAACATTTTTCAATGAGAAAACATATTGAGATTAGTGTCAAACTTTTTCTTAAAAATTCTGTCTATAATTCATAAAACTATAAATTTAAAAATTTAATAAAAAGTAAAAAAGTAAATCTCGTATGACAAAATGAGACGTTATGTGAATTTGTATATGTATCTCAATTTATATCCTGAGACATTCTTTTTGATTTAACGATTAGAATTATTAACTGTTAGTGATGAAGTTGGAGTATCGTTTTACGAATTTCAAAAAAATATTAATTAAAAAAAATATTATGTATATAAGAATTCTAATAGAGACTAAATTTGCATAGTCTTACACAGTTACTAATAAAAATTTTACAAAGTTCCGCATTTCTTATATTAAAAATTCAAAATTGAAAAAATAGTTTTTTAAAGTTTATATAGAATATCTTGTCAACTTTACATTTGTTACTCCAATCCCGTGCAAAATATCGCGTATTTATTGCGGGAGTGTCGTCTAAATTTTCGCGCGTTTGTTATATGGGAGTGTCGCCCAAAGTGTCGCGCGTTTTGATGCGGAAACGTCATCAAAGTATCGGACGTTTTATTGTTAGTGCGGGAGTGTCGTTTAAAGTATTGCGCGCGTAAATCAAAGGACAACTGGAGGACTTTGAAAATCTGAGAGGAGGAGTCCAGGAGGCATCGGGCGCTAGCGGGGCAACCTTAGGGTAAATATTATTTGTGTAATACTTATATATAAATCACGTATATACATTAATTTTATTCCTATATTTGAATTGTTTAAACAAGAGAGAATTAGAACAAAATATTTTTGATATATTAAAATATAGAGATTGCTATAAAAGTTTATATAAAAAAAAATTTTTTTTACCAAATTTGTAAAATTATTTAATTATACAATTTGTTGATTGTGCGGATTGAATATAAAATTCAATGTGTAGAA